TGTATGGTCAGATATTCGCCAGTTAAATTGGAAGAGAAGCCAAGCAAGAAACCCTTGGGAATGGTTGTTGTAAAGCCCACGCGAATATTCTCTGCAATTGTGGAGCGGAAGGAGCCCTCAAACTCGTAGCGAATTATCGAGCTGGAGCGTAAGTTGACACCAATCTCTGCAATAAGTAAATGCAATTTAAACAAAACACAATTACTGATTATTCCATTAACCCACCATCTGCGCAGATAGGTCCTTTGAATGCGCTCCAACGGCAATCGCAGCTATAGCCATCGTATCGCTCGATACAAGTGCCATTATTCAGGCAAGGACTCGACTCGCAGCGACCCACGCACCCGGTGCTGATGCCATATAATCCACGCTTCGAGTAGTCCTTAAGGTCAACCATCTTTCCGTTCAGCAACAGAGCACGAATGCAACCTACATAACCATCGCGGTACTCGGTGGTGGCACCAATCACCAGATCCGAGGTTAAGTGGAGGGCACGCACTGGACCTGGCGGCTCGCGAACCTCAGCCTTGATGGATCCATCCACCACCAGGCGAGCCTCCTTCCTGTTGCGCTCCACACTCACCGTGTGCCAATTGTTGTCGTTCAGGTGATAGCTGGTGCCCACATTAACGCCCAGTGGACCGCTGCCGGCTTGATACTGGAATTGCAGCTTGTTGCCGCCATTCAGACTTAGCTTGATGTAATCCGTGGGTCCAGTTGCATGAAAGAGCACAGAGTTCTCTTGTGTGGTGCGGAATTCCAGATAAATATCTCCAGAGTGACCCATATCGAAGGGTGGCAGGTTTATAGAGGCATCGGCAATGCGGAAGGTCACAACATTACTGAACAGATCGTCGCCCTCGCAGCGCAGCGGACCTAAAGTATATCGACCCATTTTCTCATCCAATGGAGTTCCAGTATCACCAAACTTCACAGCTCGCACAGGAAGGTACTCCTTCTCCCTGATGTCACCACCATCCTCCTTCCATTCTAGACTGTTCGAGTCGCAATTGCACCACTTTGTGGGATCGTGGCACTTGCCCAGTATACCACACTCGCACTTACGAGATCCTGGCAGAGCTCCAGCCCAATAGTCCATGGGTTGGTTGTGGCGTGAGATCCACCAAGAGAATGGACGGAAGTTTCCTGCCTCGGCTGGATGAAAAATTGAATTATAACACTTATTTGATCTAAGGAAACCCATGACCACTCACATGGTGAATTGAAGAGACGGGAGGAGCGACAGGAGTAGCTCAGGCGCTGCCAGCAGCTATGAGAGCGATTCAGCAGAGCTTCGATTTGCAGTTGATTGGCATCGTACATGATGGACTGTTCAAAGGAGCCCGGCTCCTGGAAGCCATCCACAGTTGTGGTGTGCTCTTGGCTGTGACTGAGGGTGGTAATCACACGTCCATCCGCTGGTGAAAAAATAAATCAGTCTCATCAATCAATGTCATACATTTATAAAAATTACACACTTTGAGTAGCATAAATAAGTATTTTAAACCGTAAAACAAAAAAGGCGGATAATGCATTGTGATAAAGATAACATCACTTGATTGATGGTTCAAAAGTTTGAGTTTGTAACTCTGATCCAAAAGTATAAAATTAAATAGTATGTGTAGAAAGATGAAAAACGGAACTTCAACTTTCTGCTTGACTTGCCAAAAGCGTACATTATAGATCGGATTGATTGACATCCACTTACAGTAAAACTCGCAGGTCACTGGGAAAGGCTCCAAAGGACCACTGCCATCCACGTCAAGGTTTAGATTTACACGCTGTTGCACATGCTGGACATTCTTGAGAGCCAGACAGGATAATGGATTATTCGCTAAATACAAAAATGAAACAATAAGTCAACTTAACATCTTGGAAATCCCTGACTGCAACTCACAAGTGTGACAAACGGCTCCTGCATAGCCAGTGTGCGCGCAGTCGCAGAAGAACTCCCTGGAGTTCTGGTGACAAAGACCCTTGTGCTGGCACGGATTCGGATTGCAGCGATCAATCATCTGGCAGGCATCCACGACAACATCATCGCCGCAGCAAACCTCCTGCCCCTTAACCCAGTCCTGGGGTAACTTGTAGTTTCCGTCCACCGAAATCAACCGCATACAGCCGACGAATCCATTTTTATCCTTTCCACCAGCTATGTAGTACTGTGCTCCAGTTGCAATCTGCAGACTCTTTGTTGTTGTCATCGGTCGCTGGTCAATGTTGAGTACCAAACGATTCTTATCGATGGAGATGACGAACGAGTGCCATTTGCCATCATTGAACTGCTCGTCGTAGTTGTCCAAAATTATACGCGCCGTCCCCTTGGGTTTTAAATCAATCTTAACTTTTCCAAACTCCAAGAACACCTTAATGTAACCACCGGAGTAAAAGTCATGGTGCAGCATTACCCCAGTTTCCTCGTAAGTACGGAAATAGAAGGAGACATTCAGTCGTTGAGAGTTTTCATAGCCCGCCAAACGGACATACGACGAGCGGGTAGTGAAGGTAACCGGATAAATTGGAGGCGAAGGACAGGCGTAGATGGTGTTCACCTTGGTAAACAGATAACCCTCTCCCAGCTCGGTACTGTCCTTCATGACTCGAATAAAGTTGGTGGAATTGAAGTAGATATTCTCTAAGCAACCAGAGAAATTCTGTTGGACGATCAAACCCTCCTGGACATTGGGCACACCGCCGAGGTACAGCTCCCGATTTAGATTTAGCCTACTGAATTCTCCCTGGATGCGTCCCCGTACAATAACGCGATCCACCGAGAAGATAATGTCCCGCTGGTTTCTCGAGATCACCACATCGTGCCACACGTTGTCATCCAGCAGACTGCCCACCGACAAGGAGGTCATCACCTTCGATCCCAGATCCAGATTTAGAATCATCTTGTTGTCCTTCAGCTGCAGGGCATAGTAATCGCCCTGAGTGCCACGCGAATACATCATCACTCCGTTGGCAAAGGCGGTCTTGAAGCGGAATCGAATGGACTCCTTTAGGGAGGAAATGGGCTCCCGTCTCAGATCGTAGCGCACCAAGCCAGTGCCATTGAAGTACAGGTTCTCAGAAACTGCAAGTAATATATTTGGATTAAGCAATCAATAGTGTATACAATAACTATTTAACTTACTGTAATCGCAGCCGTAGAGCTCCACACGCATAGAAATCCGATCGTGCCACCTTGTGGGATTAATCCTCACCCACTGAGCGATGATGGGCACCTCGAAGACGTTGTAGTGAATGGAGTTGCCATCGGAGTTGCCCTTGAACATCTGTGATGGATATCATAGAGATATTTAATAACAAGCATAAGTATAAAAGTTAGTAGTGTTAAGCTAAGACCAAAAGCATCCATCCATCGCCATCCTTTAAGCCAGAAATAGTTATATAGTTTAAGCCTTAGTCTAGGGTTAGTCACAGTACCTGCGGCTCGCTCGTGGGATTCACGTATGAGCGCCAGAACTCGCCGTCATCCGAGTACTGGACAATGTACTCCGTCACGAACTCATCCGTGTGCATGCGTCCCATGGTGGCGATCTTGCGCACCATGCGCGGATCCCCCAGGTCGAATGTTAGAAAGTGGTTATAGGTATTCTCGACCGGTGTCCAAGCAGCGTTACCTGCACAAGGTGCATTTACCAATCTAGTTAGTCGCAGTGTCAGAGTGTAGAGAAGGGTATGGGTGTTTTGTGAAGGAAGTGAACTACAGAACTTTTAGACGAACACATAAACAGATGCATGCGGGACGGATTAAATCATAATGTTAAAAAAAACCAAGCACAAAAGCAAGCATAGTGTTAATGGATTTATGTGATGATAATCCGCTTTCGCAGAAGAATAGTTTCCCCAGCCACCAACATTTGTTTTTGCACGGAGAAAAAATAGTAATAATAGTTATTTTCCGTGCATTAAACCACCACCAAATGAATTCCATCCCAATTCCGATGAGACACACATTCGTAATTGTATTTGAGATCGATTGTTTACCTTGACATTGCCGCCCGGCTCTTTATAGTCGGCAAACTCTAGATCGGTTATGCCATAGCTAATGGTGTACTCGGTGACGTACTCATTGCTGTGGGGTCGTCCTTGCAGGGCGATGTGCGTCACGTTCCGCACCACGCCCAGGTCAATAATCAGACGCTGGTCGAAGTCTGAGTTTTTCGCGGACCACGAGGTTCCAGCTGGGGTTCGCAAATGGTCATGGGATGATGGGCAATAAAATGAAAATAATACAATTTAAACCAAAACAAGAGCAACATAAAATGTACTTAAAGGCAAAATAAAATGGGAGGTCTACCCTACACATAATTGCCTAAAATAGCGATTTTAAAATTGCCTAAATCCTCGGGGGGTGTTTTCAATTAATAAACCATAATTTAGGGGCGATTCCGATTGACAGCTGCAAGTGGTCGAGTTCGAGGTCCTTCAGATCGCGGTTCAACCCCTGCTCCAGAAAGCAAAAGGATTTTGGCAGTCCCGAGGGTTCAGTTGGTGTCAACACAAAATGGGAGAGCTCTTAAATGGTTGGGCATATACAATTGCGACCGTGTGCCTTTGTTTTAATTGCAGAGCGCGCCAAATTGCAAGCAGGTGTGACAAAATAGTGTGAGAAAGTCCCGACTGCAGTGATATCCTATGGCAAAGCCCATTCCCCAATATTTTTGTTCCGCATTAAAGTTTCCTTTGTCCTTCGTTGGCAACGTGCTCATATCAGCCAGCCATCGTTCCCATCGATAAAACTTTCGGGAATGCCAAAAATAATTCAAACAAACGAGCCATGCAGAGCTACCCTTGCGCAGGGCTATCCTGTTGGCGCATAAATTCAACGAAACCGATGTCTGGCCCCTGTCTGAGTCCCATTACGGGTTCCTAAATTTCGGTTTATGGCCTTTTAAGCATATTTCCGGCTTCGTTTCGTAGAGTTTGTTTATCCAATGCCAGGCAAACAAGCAGTTTTTTGGGGGGTGCGCGGATTCATGACAACACAAGGATTACAAATTATTCCAAATTGGGCACAACTATTGAAAAAATATAAAAGCATGTTTATTCTACGGATAAAAAATCTATTTTAGGATCTACTTTTGTGGGCTTTAGTTCATGATCGTTTGTAGGGCTTAAGCAAAGCCTTTTGGCAGTAGCTGATCACATCATCCTGTTCCGATTCGAGACTCTTTACAAGAAGTTCCTCAACTCCAAGGAACTGAAACCTTCCATGCACCTGTGGCAAGCAGTTACGGAATGCAATGGCTGCGCAGTAGTCCTCCTCCAGTAAATGCTCCTCAAAATGCCAGTTCTCCATGGGTTGATCATGGCAACGTAGGCTGGTTCCGGTTAAGGGAGACACCTCCGAGCTCAGCGGATGAGTGGTGTCCACGGAAAAGCTGATCTTTTCCAGATCCACAGTTATGCCAACTCCTAACTCCTTGACGTAAGCCTCCTTGAGGCACCAGTGTCGCATGAAGGCCTTGACTTGTTTCCGCTCATCATGCTGGGGTCTTCCAATATAGCTCCATTCCTGGGCCGAAAACTTGCCCTTCATCAGGCGAAAGAATTCCGACAGGGACTTGCCGCCACTGTACTCGATCTTCATGACATCTGTGCCGATTCCAAAGTCGGGATCACTGGCTTCTCCTGTGATCCCTGCCAGGAGAACTAGGCTTCCCTGGTGGGAGACATTGAAGCTGAGTGGTGGCCCATCGATATCCTCCCTCACCCAATAAGGTTTTCCCCGCACATCCCTGGCGAACTTGACTTGGTGGTGCGGCAATCCACTGCATGTGCTCACATATTTCCGCATCAATAGCCGGCCAATTAGCGAGGACAGAAAGTCATCGATGAAGTGGAACTTCATGAGGCGAACGCGTTCCTCGGGCTGAATTGAGGCCACTGCCTGACTCAGTTGTGTGAGTGTGGGCTTCCAGCTGCCCAGGTCAAAGGCCCAGCGGGTGCAAATGTGCTTGCTCATTTCGATGCGATTTAAAACTATCTAATTGCCTTTACAATCATTGCTTTCTAGGGCGTTTTCGCTTTGCAATGTTTTTACAAATTTGCTATTGTAATGGCAGTATGGCCACAAGTGGTCAGGGTAAAAATCCCCCAGCGATTACGCCTTATAAATATACTGCAAAAATACTGCGCTACAAAACTCAGCTGTGTTCCCGTTTACAATTTCGATTAGGGGGTAATTCAAACTGATAAGAATTTTGGAGTTTTCAAAATTAATATAACAAAGGAAACAGCACATTGTACCTTAAAAACTTGCTACAAACTGAATTTAAATAAACATTTTCAATGTAAAAAGGTTAAGGGTCAGCACTTAGCTAATAGTTCTATATATTTAAAGTCAACTGATATAAAAACAAGTTTTTGAAAGGGTTTGGGGCGCATTTTTAAAATCATAATTGCTAATTAAACAACTGAAAGGCAACTCAACTAGCACAAAGAACAAAGAATTATAAAAAATAAAATCAATAACTATTACTCACCGTTTAATCGTGCTTTATCAGGTCCTCGTTCTGTTAACGATGATGTTGCCGTTAGGACAGCTCTTTCCAGGAGGGGCTGGTTGCACTCATAGTCGGAGAAATAGTCCGTAAAAGCGTCTGAAAGTAAATAATATCGATCTATAAATACCCGAATTCCATGACCCATATACAATTGTACAATGTGAACGCAAACTGTCACGGGCGTAATTAAAATTGAGATATGAAGAATCTGTTTGGATGGCGGCCAATAATTTTGAGTACTTCACTCGGGCCATAATCGTTCCAGTGGCCTATTTTTATGGGGCCATAAATAAAGCCACATCAATAAGAAAGAAGTAAACAAGAGAGGTTCAGACTGAAGGGTAAATATCTGCCATACGGTTGGGAATCCTGATTCGCAGTTTTCTTGGGAAAATGTTTTATTCAGAACTTGGAAAAGATTGATACCAATCGCTGGTAATGAATAAATTTCACATAAAAAGTGTCTGCACAATTGAACTTTCAATTTCACAAGGAGAAAATTCCAATAAATTTTCTGGGTATATTAAATCTTTTGAATTATATTATCCAGGTTCTACTGTGCCTCAAAGTGCAGATTCTTGTCTCATATTTGCACCATAATATTACTGGTGACGAGAGTCTTTTGGCCCCTAGGATCCATGACAAAAATGAGCGGAAGTGGGGGGCAGGTCGTGTCGGAAATCCAGACAATTGGCCCTGTCAGTTGCAACCCCCAAGAAATGTTTTATAATGGGTGCAGCAGGAGCTCCTAGGCAAACACACTGGAATTTTCAAACTGGGAGTGGGGAGAAACAACCCTTGCGAGGTCATCCGGAGTTCGTGAGCACTTTAAGCTGACTTTGAGCCCTAAACAGAGTGGAGAAAATCAACCTGATAAGCCCGAAAGGAAACAGAGCGAAACACGCATGACAATCTGTTGGTAAATAGTATATTGGAACTTTTGGGAGCAGCAAGTTTGAACTACTTTTTCCGTTACTTAATGGCCAACAAAAATCTGGCTAATGTTCTAAATGAAGCAAATATGACGAGGCCTGGAAAGGCCATTTCCGCTGATCTCGAGAAACTCGAAGTGCGAATGATGCTATTTTCGGGGCAATAAGAACCGAAATAAATTATGGAAATCGACCAAATACTGAGGATATATGTCGGTTGTCTGCTTTCGACGCTTCAGGGCGTGAAAGTGGCAAATTAATTGCGTGGCATTGTTTATTTTTAGTCATAAAAATGTTTGCATATTATCTTACGATTGTTTATTTTTTATGAAATGTGGAAAATTGTGGGCGCAAAGAGCTCAAATCTGTTGACATATGGAAGGATAATGATAGAATCACGTGTTTCGGCCAGCATCTTTAATCAGCAGATGCTTTTTCCGCCGCATGCGCATTGCAAAAGCCGGAAAATAAAAAAAAACAGGGATGCAGCCGGCAAACTTTGGAGTAATTCCACCGGGGAGCTCCCCAAAAAGATATTTAGGTTTCAATTTTGAATTCAAAAAGAACGAGTAGAAAACGGGCGTTGTTAATCGGCGTTTTTGTTTTGCCACCGCTATTCGTAAGCAACGTTTCGATCGCTCTCTTTAGTTTTTTTCTCTCTCCGCTCGCGATCAAAAAGAGCGAGTTAAAAGCGAAGAACGGGAAAAAAGAAAAAGAAAGAGCGAGTCTCCAGCTTTGGGGAACACGCCCAAAAAAGTTGGCTTACAAACAATCAACGTTTTATGTCACAAATTCCTTACAAAATCGAACAGAACCCATCTATATTCTTGGTTTATTCAACTGGAATCACTGTATTTACCTGCTTGCACTGATTTAATGCCATTATTGGCCAGCAATAGGAGGCATAGTAGTCCAAACTGCAGCGAAGAAAATGCCGTTTTCGTATGACGGCTGGGCGGCCTCATCTTGGAGGCTTGTGATTAAGACTTCCGTGGAATGTATTTATAAACACATTTATTTTAGTTTTCCGAGAAATGCTTCGTCAAAATGCACTTTTCCGCTGGAAAAACCACCGTGAAAAGCTGATAATTTATGGCAACGCGTCCGCAATATTGAGAGTTCCTTCTGCACTTTCCGCTGCTACTGTTGTTCTTAATCGGTTGTAAATTTTTATAATTTATTGAGTGGCACCACGTCTCCACCAGATCACGCCCACTTCGAAAGAGTTTCGTTTGAATTAAGAAAATAATTATCGCAACGCGGATGACACACGAACTCCTCTCCGTCTCGCTGCCAGTGTGACCGTGCCTCAAGTGTGGCATGCTACCACGAGGCAAAAAACCCAGAAGATAATCGCGTGAGAAAACTATCGTTGTGTTCTCAATTTCACTTTCGCCAAGAAATTGCTTTAATCATTTAAATTTATAATTTTAATTTGAAATTCAAATACGGACAAAGAACGTAGATTTTCATGTTACTTATTTATATTCGTGTTATTAAGTAAAATTTAAAAAAGTAAGCAAATCCTTGCTTGCCAAAAATATTGTTTTAAATATTTTGATGAATAAAACAAACTAAAAAGGTCAAATATATCAAATTTTGCTACCGTTTTCTCTCAAAACTACAAAATTGTAATCTTCCAAAATCTCCCAAATCGGCAAAGTCGTGAAAACATCGATAGTCGCCTAGCCCCATCGATAGTCGATCACACTGTTTCTCCCTCTTTTCGCCAAAAATTTGTTGGCGTGTTGTCAATTTCTTCAGCGTTTGACAGGCTTTGTGTTTTGTGTAGCACCGGAAAAGATAAAACAGCGACCATGTACGGAGCAGACGAATACGCAAGCAATTCGGTGAGTGCAGGAAGTCCGGAAAAGACCCGCGGTCGAGAAACCCACTGAGACCCCGCCGACAACATAACCCAACTTTTGTGCCCCGCACATATGTAAAATGTAAAAAGTCATTGATTTTCTCTGGGATTTCAGGAGTACTATGATGACTTCGCCCACACCGGTGACCCCCAGCTGGACATGGAGTACGAGAGGAACTACTTCTCCACCCGGATGCCGGACAACGTCAAGTACTTCCTGATCAACTTCTGCCAAGCGATCAAGGAGGGCAACCTGTACGACATCCAGAACATGTACGAGAACACCTTCCCGCAGATCAGCGACCACCACTTCGACAAGACGGCCTGGCCCGAGGAGCAGGAGGTGGCCGCCATCGTGGACAACGACAAGGTCTTCCTGATCCTGTACAAGGAGCTGTACTACCGCCACATCCATGCCCGCATTCCCGGCGGCCCCAAGTTGGAGCAGAGGATCAACTCGTTCTTCAACTACTGCGACTTCTTCAACCTAATCATCTCGGCCCAGAACCCGGTGATGCTGGAGTTGCCCGACATCTGGCTGTGGGAGCTGGTGGATGAGTTCGTGTATCAGTTCCAGAACTTTGCGCAGTATCGGTGGGTAGCTTCCCTAGTTCCTTTTGAATTTGCCTAACCTTAGACTCTTTGCAGCGCCCGCCTGACGGACAAGTCCCAGGACGAGATCCAGCAGCTGTGCGTGAACCACAGCAACGTGTGGAGCATCCTCTGCATCCTGAACGTGCTGCACTCCCTGGTGGACATCTCGAATATCAAGAAGCAGCTGGAGGCCATCTCGCAGGGCGTGGATCCCCAGACCGTGGCCGGTGACTTCGGCAAGCTGTCCTTCTACAAGATGCTGGGCTACTTCTCCCTCGTCGGTCTGCTGCGCGTGCACTCGCTGCTCGGTGACTACTACCAGGCCATCAAGGTGCTGGAGCCCATTGAGATCCACAAGAAGTCCGCCTACTCGCACATCCCCGCCTGCCAGATCTCCACGTCCTACTACGTGGGCTTTGCCTACATGATGATGCGCCGCTACGCTGATGCCATCCGCACTTTCTCCGACATCCTGCTGTACATCCAGCGCACCAAGCAGCTGTATAGCACGCGGTCGTACCAGAACGACCAGATCAACAAGCAGGCGGAGCAGATGTACCACCTACTGGCCATCTGCCTGGTTCTGCATCCCCAGTGCATCGACGAGTCGATCCAGCAGGTGCTGCGTGAGAAGAACTACCACGACGCCATGTTCAAGATGCAGTGCGGTGACCTGGAGGTCTTCAAGTCCTTCTTTGTGTTTGCCTGCCCACGCTTCGTGAGCCCATGCCCTCCAGCTGCGGATGCCCCGATGGAGGACTACGTCAAGGACCCCATGGAACACCAGCTGCTGGTGTTCATGGATGAGGTACGCCAACAGAAGGATCTGCCCACGACGCGATCGTATCTGAAACTGTACACCACCCTGCCGCTGACCAAACTGGCCTCTTTCATCGACCCCAATGCCAGCGACGATGACGTGTCGAAGCTCCTGATCCGTCTGCTTTGCTTCAAGCACAAGATGCGCAACCTGGTGTGGAGCAAGGGACCCAGCGGCCTGGAGGGAACATTTAAGTCCGGCTCTGAGGTGAGTTTTACAGAGAAAAATCCTGAAGACAGATATCTAATCCCCCTTTAACATTCCAGTTGGACTTCTACATCGACGACGACATGATCCATATAGCTGACACCAAGGTTTCACATCGCTATGGCGACTTCTTTGTGCGTAAAATCCTTAAGTTCAACGATCTGAATCGCAAACTGAAGAACATCAACATTTAAGCCATTTAAGTCCACATCCTTGTGACCCCTAATGAACTATTTAATATTCCA